CAAATGGCTAAGAAATGAACATTTCTTCATGTGTTTGTTGGGTGCTTGAATAGCTTCTTTGGTGAAGTGTCTGTCTATTCATGTCTTCTGCTCATTTAAAAATTGGATTATTTGTCTTTTTGACATTGAGATGTGGGGGTTTTCTATAAATTTTATAGATGTTTTCTTTTATAAATTTTTATATTTATAAAAATAATGTTTTTCTATTTTAGCTTATAAAAGATGTCTTCTTTTATAAATTTGTCACATACTTCATTGCTGAATATTTTTTTCCAGTCCTCAGGCTCTCTTTTCATTCTTTTGGAGAAGACTTGTGAAGCACATAAAAACTTTATATTTAGAAGGTCACGATCACCTAGTTGATCTTCTGCTGTTTGTGCATTTTGCTTTATCCCAACAGTCTATTTATGCCATAATTTAAGGCCCCTAAGTTTGCCCCTATATTTTCCTTAATGAGCTTCATGTCCACATTTTGATGGTGAATACACTTTGTCATGTCTCTAGGGTAAACCAACAGGGACAGAATTACTGGGCTGTGCAAGAAATGTGTATGACCGACCCCTTTCCTCAGCTGTCACTAAGGTACTTGGTTCCTGGGGAGAAGCTAGGGCCATGTTGGGGTGAGGACCTCACTTCCTCAGGTGTGCATCACTCTCCATCCCAGCACCCCCACACCGCCACACCATGGCCTTCATCCCCGAGCCCTCCTGCAACTACTCCACTATCATACTGCCCACGATGAGGTGAGTGTCACACAGGAGAAGCCAATCTCTCTAAAGCATTGGGTGGACATGTTGAACGTTTCTGGCCTGGCTTGTTTGCAAAGGCCCTTGGCCAAGGTCAACATCAGGAGACTCATCTGCAGAGTCAGGGCCAGTGGACCTGTCCCAGCCACCACCACTGTCCCCGGGTGAGATGGGGACCTGTACCCTGCACGGCTGCCCAGCTGAGGAGAAGAAAAGAGAAGCCAAGAGAGAAGAATCTGAGGAGACCCAGGGCAACAGGGCCTGCTGGGGGTGCAGGAGTCCTTGGAGGGAACCCCGACTTCTCCAACATTCTAACATGTGACAGAAAGGCCCATATCCTTGGCAGACTCACCAAGGCCTGGAGTGTCTGCTCCCCCCATCTCATCCCTCAGTGTGGTTCCCTGACATCTCTCTGGGAGCTTTGTCGTACTCCCATCCCCAAAGATCTGACAGCTTTGGTCA